TCAGAAATGCAGGTTCCTGAGGCAGCTTCGTGACAGCCAATACACACTGGTGCCGCACCACAAGCCGAGAGCTGGCCTGGGCATGCAAAAGCCCCTCTTCAGTTCTTTTTAGCAAGGAGAGTAACAGGACCAGGTTCTCCTCTGACAGCACCAGGACTTGAGAGAAGAGAAGCAATGAGTCTCAGTCACCTTCCCAGCACTGCAACCAAAACATGACTGTGGAAGGAAGGTGGGTGGGAACAGCTTGCTGGAGGAAGGCCAGGAGCCAGACACTCACCTTCCCTCCTCCAGCTGGGGAAGGAATTGAGAAGACATGGAAACAAGTCTCAGCCTATTAAGTTTATTGAAGGGAATTAAAGAGACAACTTGATCACAGTGCACATAAATACTGAAGCAAGGAGAAATTACCTGACAGCATGGCTTAACTGGGAAGGTGAACGCATAAGCAGGCTCAGGGAACAGAAGGTGAAACTCAAAAATTGAGTGTAGAAATGAAGCAGATTTGAGGGCAATTACCTATTAGAAAAACTAACCAGGGAAGACTTTCAAATATACTGTCTGCCTTTCTAAAAGACAGGCAAAGCATAGCCACATCTCACTGGACTCTGCCATGGCCTGTATTATATAGCAGGTCAGACTACATGATCAAAGCCACCTCTTCCCACCTTAAAATAGATGAGGCTGTGATTTTTTTTCAGGCCCTACTCTCAAACTCTGCCTGGGTATTTGCTGGGCTCCCAGGGTGCCACAGTGGGCACAGGCCACTTGCCTCCCACCTCAGAGCATCCCTGCCCAGGGTCCCAAGCCAGAGGGGGGCAGCCAACAGCACCCAGCCCCAAGCACACTCTTCCGGGAGATTTTATGCAGCTTTAGAGCAGCTCCTCCAGCATAACACAACCACAGCTCATCAGCAAAGGCCTCATTCAATTCCTGCTACGCTTTTCTTGTGCTCTCCACCAACATTTGCTCCAGCCTCGCTCCCCTCCAAATTTTATGCATACTTTTTCCAAATCATTCAACCAACCCTGCCTCTTCCACAAACTCCACTCTTCCTCCTGGCCCCCTCAAATGACCCTTCCCAAGCCCTCGCCCATTCCTACCTCTCACCGTGTCCAGGAGGATTTCCAGGGTCTGATGTCCTTCCTGCTCTTGTTTCAAGGGGTGCTTTCATCTTCCTCTTGACTCCTGAAGGGCCCCCATGGCCTCTGAGGGGCTGAGCACCTCTGCACAGCCCAGCTCCACTTCTCATTCCTCCCTGCTGGGAGAGCAGCCAGACAGGAGTGCTCTGCTCACCCAGGATGATCGGAGCAGCTCTTGGAGGCAGAAAATCTCCTCCCAGAGACAGCCCGGGATGGTTGGTGCAGCGCACACCTGCTAGAGGAGCAATAGGCTTGGCATGACTCCTGCACAGAGCACTCAGTAGCTGCAGTCCTAACTACTGCTTAGCTAGCCACTCTTAACGCTCTGTGTGGCCAGCAATGCCACCTCCCAAGCCCTAAAGAAAATGCAACACATAATATGCTGCATATCTCACACCATACCTCAGAGGCTGGGCAACCAGAAACATTGGATTCATCGTTCACCCACTCTTGTGCCTCAGGCCTGGGCATTTCCAGCTTTTGTGGTCATTGAAAACTGGTTGATTTACAGTGGATGACTCCATGGTTTTCAAAAAAGGTGGGCTCACCTCTCAGCCTCCCTTTCTCTCTCTGCTCATTTTCTTGCTCTCCTCAACAAATCAGAGGCAAACGCAGCATCATAGTAGGAAGACAATTACTTTGCTGGTAGGGACATGCTGCAGAGACCCAAGCTGCAGTGGGGGTACTGATAGTCTGGTTTGGGCCACTCCTGCAGCCACCAAAGTTTGTCCTCTCATTCTCAGGGCACAGAAAGTTATGTTCCCTTCATGTTTCAAAGAGGCTAGAGTCTCACTGGAAGCAGATACCACTGAATAAGGTGATAGCAGGCATGCAGCTTACAGGAGCAGTGTGGATTAGAACCTCAGATCAAGTAGAAGGAAGAGAACCCACACTAGATGGTCCTACAGTTTGCAATTCAGAGGAAAGTGCCTCTGCTTTCTCTGCAATCTTTGGGGGATGAACAGAGCAAATCCATGTCCCATCCCCTCCTCCCTTTACTTCCTCTCAGACTGGCTTGTTGGGTTTGTCTGATTTACTAAACTACTTTAGTTTGCTGAATTTAGGTTTTTTTTTCCTGGAATGTAGGAAGCATTCTAAATTCTCTTTGGCCCAGAACCATGGCTGTCACAGAAAAATAGACGCTAGCTCAGCTGGCAAGTTTCTGTTCATACAAAACCAGGTTTCTGCTCAGAGAAAGGCTTTGGGATTATCCTCCAGACACTGGCCTCCCAAGCTTCTGTCTCCCCTAGTTATAGGAGAGATCTCTTGGTTGTAAAAACCCCTAAGTGTCTCCTTGAGACAGATAAGCCTGCTCTTATTTTGGTGGCCCCAGACTGGGACCCAATGGCTCCTCTCTTGTTGATAGAACTGTTTGGCCTACCAACTCTGATCTGAAATTTTGCATTGTACTGAGTTCACAGTGAGTTATTTGACCTGTCCTGCTATCAGTATGAG